GGGTGGAACGACATCGAGATCGAGGTGAAGTCGCGCAACGAGCGCATCGGCGTCCCACTGACGCTCGACAGCCTGGAAGTGATCGTTCGCTACGCTGGCCAGAACTGATCGATAAAACCGGCGACGGCTGGCCCTGCCCGGCCAGCCGTACGGCCTTCCGTCAATAAAATGACAAATGCCGCCTGCGGACGAGCGGCGACGCGCGCGTATATCCTGAAATATGGCGCGCCCCTGTAGCTCAGGGGACAGAGCAGCTGCCTTCTAAGCAGACGGTCGCAGGTTCGAATCCTGCCAGGGGTACCAGCCCACACGCGTGCCGGCGGACCGACACTTCCTACGCCGACACAAGGCGGACTGTCTTAGACGCTTCCGTCCAGGATCACGTCCAACACGGCTGGCGCGTTCATGTCGATGGCCTTCTGTAGCTCGGGTCCGATGTCGGCCGGATCCTCGATGCGCACACCGTGTGCGCCAAACGATCTGGCCAGCGCGGCGAAGTCGAACGGTACTGGAAAGTCCATGCCCAGGTACTTGCTCGGCTCATCCGGCTTGCCCTTCACAGTGCGTTTATAGACCTTCATGTTCAGCTTCAGCACTCTGTACATGGCGTTGTTGCAGATAACAAACACCGTGGGGATCTTCGAGTTGACCGCGGTCCACAACCCTTGCAGGGACATCATCATGGTCCCGTCGCCGCATACTGCGACGACCGGTCGATCGGGGTTGGCAAGTTTCAGACCCAACCCTCCACCAGGTCCCCATCCGATCGAGCCGCCTCTTGCGCCAAAGTAATCGCCAGGGCGGCTGAACTTCGCCGCCGAGTGCAGCGAACCGCGGTTGCTGATCGCGTCGTCGAACAATACAGCGTCTTCCGGCAGCGCGTCCGCCAGAGCCACCATTGCAGCCTCCGGTGACATGGGACGCTGGCTGTTTCCCGACTTGGCGTTCTTTCGGAAAGCCTCGTCCATGGCGCGGGTCTCTGCCGCAACGACCGTCGCCCTGCCCCGCGCCGATTCCATCTGTGAGCCGGACATTTCGGAGTTCAGTGCTTCCGCCAGTTGGTCCAACGCCTCGCCGGGGGATGCGAACACTCCGACGTCGGTCGGTTCCGACTTGCCGATCTCGCCGGCGTTGATGTCGATGTGCACCAGCTTCGTCTCTGGCTTTAGCACGGTGTCATTTTGGTAGAAGAAATCGTTGAAGACGGGGCAGCCGACCGCCAAAACCGCGTCGGCGGAATCGAGCGTCTCAAGGGCTGAGGGCTGTCGAGCTCAACATGCCCATGTACTGGGGATGATCGGTCGGAAAGTTGACCTGGCTGCTCACGTGGCCATACACGGGCGCGCCGAGAAGCTCTGCCACCCGAACCGCAGCGTCCGTGCCGCCGTTAACCATCACACGATCGCCGACGATCATAACCGGGCTGCTGGCGCTCGCCAGAATGTTCGTAGCGTCCTCGATGTCCTTGGGATTGGCGGCCGGAGACTTCCGGAACCCCTGGACGGCACGAGGTTCACGTCCGCATCGTCGTCCAGAGAATTGGCCGAAAGCGACACGAAGACAGGGCCCGTCGGGGGGCTCGCTGCTTCGTTGAAAAGCCCTGCGGATGACGGATGGGTACTGCTCAGGATGCGTAATTTCGGCGCTCCACTTCGTGTACGGCCGCGCCATCTCCGCGAGATCGCTGCGCCCTTCCGCCAGCTTCCGCACGTCCTTGTTGCCAGCGGTGACCACCATAGGGGTACCGGTGTTGTATGAGTCGATCAGCAGAGCGAATGAGTTGGACAGGCCGTTGTCTATGTGGAGACTGACGAACGCAGGTTTTCCGGTGGCGCGCGCATACGTGTCGGCCATGCCGATAGCCACCGATTCCTGAACGGCCAGAATGTATTCGAATTCCGGATAGTTCTCGAGCGAATCCATGATTGCGGCTTCGCTGGTGCCCGGGTTCCCGAAGATGTACTTCACTCCTTCGGCCCGGAGCATCTCCATCAGTGCGTCGCTACCCTTCATATTTTCTCTACCCTTTTTGTTGATGGCCTAAACCACCTGTGCAGTGTTGTTCGTTGAATTGAAAAAGCTGGCTACTGGCCCCTGGGCTCACACCCAGGACAGAGCGGGCGCGTGCTGTTCGGTCACTTCCCACTTGCTGCGAGCGTGAGCACGTCGCGTAGCATTCGCGCCACGAGTTCGTGCTCGCCCTGTTGGATATTCAGTGGGTCGACCGAAACTCTCGCGCCGCCGGGATCCACGTGGCGCATGTAGACCCGCGGGTCTCCGGCAAGCATACGCCGGCCGATCTCGCGGTTGTCCGGGCCCTTCCACGAATCGTTGAACCTAAACACTGCATGCGGTATGTAGTAAGCCTCATCGTGCCGCACGGACGAATCGACGCCCGGCACGTCGCCCACTTCATCGACGATCGCCTGCATCGCTCGAGTGTACGCAGCCGATTCGGCGGTTTCGTCCACGGCGACAAACGTCCGCACGGCTGCTACGAGGCCAGCAATCTCCTCTTTGGAGACCTTTAGGCCGCGGGCAACCGTTGCGTTCGGTGCGTTACAAAGGCGGGCGTATTCAATCCATTCGGGCAGACCGAGAAGAATGCCTGTGCTTTGCGGGCCCCTCACACCTTTGCCTCCCGAAAAGCTGACCAGATCGGCGCCCTCGTTCAGGAATCGTGTCAGGTTGGCACGCGGCGGCAGCTTGGATGCGCCATCGCACAATACGGGAAGCCCGTGCCGATGGGCGATCTCGACGAGCGTGGTTAGAGGGACGTCGCCATGTTTGCGCGGTCCGGATTCCAGATCGATGATCGCCGCGGTGTTATCGGTGATGGCTGCTTCCACCTCTTCGGGAGTGCAGCCATTCTGATCGCCAACCTCGACGAAACGCGCGCCCGCGACGAGATAAAGGTGGTCGTAGCCGAATCGTTGGGTCTTTTGAATGATCAACTCGTTAGGCAAACCGTCGGTGAGGGGCAGTTGCGCGATCAACTCCGGATCGCCCTCGAAATCGCGGCGGCCGTCTGAACCACGAGCCCGCCCGACGCTCCGCTCGTTACGGTGGCCGCGGGGGCGCCGATCAGTTGGGCAATTTCCCGGCCGGCGGCGATCAACCATTCGTCCATCTGCACGAATACCGGCGCCATCGCTCCATAGCTTCGACGACCTCCGGCAACGGGCGGCTGCGTACATGGCATAGTATTCGCCACCCCGTTGATCACGGGCGTCACGCCCAATTCGGCGAGTATGCCCCCGCCGCGCCCTGAGTTCTTCAATGCTCTTACTGTCCTTTCGGCGTATGTAGATTACAAGAAACCGGGCGACCCGCGCTGTGATTTACCGTACACTCCTGCGGACGATTAGAAGATGGTGTCCAGTGCATTGCGCCGTGCGGCTGACCGGCCGACGACAGCGCGGCTTAGGGATTCAACAATCGATCGAGATCAAGGTCGGGCAGCTGCGTATCAAGTGTGTGAAAGACACCAATCGCACACCTAACGACGCTAGTAGCTGGAAATCGCTCGGCTCGCCGGTCCGTCTCGCTCCGCCTCGTGACAGGCGGGCGTATAGAACGCGGGTCGTGACCGGCGCCGGCTTCGTGTTGTCTATTGAGACCCCTCCAGACTAACGATGTATCCATGCCAGTCCGATTTCGCAAGCTTCGTGCCGCTGCGTAAACGCGTCGGTCGACAGTTCCACGCCGAGCGTCAAGGTGATGAACCAACTATGCAAACAGCCGGGTGTTCATGCATAGTCGAAATACACTGGGACCCGATTCCGGTCAGAGATGTGTTTCCCATTATTGGCGATCGCGGAAGCGAACCCGTAGCCCTTGTGGGATCCCTGCTCCCTCGTGCCGCCGAATGGAAGCATCCAGTATGTTTCCGGCAGGTCGACCTCTTCCATGATCGGAGCGGGCCGTCCGTCGTGTTGCCGGCTAGTATCCACCTGGCAGCTCTCTTGGCGTCGCTACCACGTTTCGCCAGGGTCGCACTGTATGCCGGCGATCTGCGTCGGTGCCGCTAGATCGAACAAGGGACTGGCGGCATGTCTCCCGCCGGTGCGGCCCACGCGATCGGGTTCGTTCCAAGCATCGGCCGGGCCCCAAACGTCGGCAGCATGCCTGACAGACCCTCCGCTCAGTCGCCTTGACCGAGGGCCCGATCATGGTCGCTCTCTGCCGCCATCATCGCGTGGTAAGCGGCGCCGCCCATGTGGCCGACATTGTGGACATTGACCGACGCGACGCCCATTTTGGCGGCCTTTTCAATCGCCATCCGCATCGCGAGGGGCGCACGTGCAACTCCGAGTCCGCCCGGCGTTCAGGTATACGCGGTTGTTCCGATCCGCGTTCGTCTCTCACGCTGTCGGGTTCAGGTCCCACGCTTAGTCGATAACCGGCCACGTGACGACGTCAGCATATTCGATACGCCGCTTGCGTTCGTCATCGAGCGCCTCTGAGGTCGTTCGCGTCAGAAGCACGGTCCGCTGACTGTCGGGCATTGCACCGGAAGAGGAGGCCCAGCGGCGAGGAATGACCGCTTTCAAAGTCGAGAAGCCGCCGCTCTGGGACATCGAGCTGGTGCGAAGACGGATCATGATACCCGATCACGCAGTCGAGATGGACATCAGACAATTAAGAACGTCAAGCATTAGCGATGTGCATTGCCCCGTCGAGCGCTGAATCGCAAGTTGCGCGGAGCAAAGGCTAGCACGCAGCCTTCCTATGCCGGGCCGGTCACAACCTTAGTCAAGGTTTCAGAAATCGTCGACGCGGAGGGCAAACGACGGGCTGGTGTAACCTTGACCGCACACGGGCAATGAGGCAATCGTTACACAATTCAGCCGGGCCCGCCGGAGGTGCGCGAATGAAGGCCGTCGTTTACAAAGAACCGTTCCGCGTCGGGATCGAAGAGGTACCCGACCCGAGATCAAGCACCCCAACGATGCGATCGTTCGAATCACATCGTCTTGCATATGCGGATCGGACTGCATATGTACGAAGGCCGAACAGCAGCCGAGCCGGGCATCGTCTTTGGCCACGAAAACATGGGGGTCATCGAGGAGGTCGGATCGGCGGTCATCGAACCCGCAGCGTCGGCGGCGACCGCGTTGTGCTGCCCTTCAACGTGGCATGCGGGTTCTGCAAGAACTGCCTGGGTGGGTTTACTGGGGTTCTGCACGACGGTCAACCCCGGTTTTGCCGGAGGGGCGTACGGATACGTGGCGATGGGCCCGTGGGTTGGCGGACAGGCGGAATACCTCCAGGTGCCGTTCGTAGATTTCAATGCGCTCCCATTGCCGGCGGGTGACGAGCACGAGGCCGATTTTTCCCTTCTCGCCGATATCTTTCCGACCGGCTATCACGGCGCCGAGCTCGCGGGCGTCCGGCCTGGTGAGTCCGTCGCAGTCTTCGGGGCCGGTCCGGTGGGTCTGATGGCGGCCTACAGTTGCGTCATTAGGGGCGCAGCAGAGGTCTACTCCGTGGACCACGTGAAGGAACGGCTGGACAAGGCGGAACAGATCGGCGCGATACCGATCAACTACGACGAGGCCGATCCCGTCGAACAGATCAAGTCCCGCAGGAATGGCGAAGGGACGGACAAGGGCATCGACGCAGTCGGATACCAGGCCACTTCTGCTGGTTCATCCGCAGCCGGAGGCGAGCAGGACGAGGTGCCGAACATAGTCCTGAACCAGCTGATTGACGTAGTCTCGCCGACGGGAGCGCTTCGCATTCCGGGACTGTACGTCCCGGCGGACCCCGGCGGAGTCGACGCGCAGGCTGCCAAGGGCGCACTGCTCATCAACTTCGGCAAGTTGTTTGAGAAGGGTCTTCGCTTCGAACCGCCAGTGCAACGTCAAGAGCTACAACGCTTACTTGCGTGATCTCATCATCGCCGGACGAGCTGAGCCAAATTTCGTGGTGTCGCATGAGATCTCGCTCGACGAAGCGCCGGACGCCTACACGAAGTTCGACCGCAGGGAAGAGGGATACACGAAAGTGATCATTCATCCCTAGAACAGCATAGCAAATTGAATTGAGTGCCCGCGCGGGCTCCCACGAGGCGTTCTGCTAACGACGGGGCCGCAAGTTACGGACAGCGATCATCCCAACCGGTCCCGTAGTTCAGGACGCAGGGACCGGTTCGGCCTGACCAAGGAGACCTACGATGAAGATTGGCAGCGGAGATCACGTTTACACGTGGGTAGATGACTGGGCCAGGATTCCGCCCGACGAGGCTGCTACAAAAGGCTGGTCTCACCACGACGCCGTTGTTCGGGCAGATGGACGGATCGTGTCCTGCCACCAGGGCAAACCGACGATCCTCAGTTTCGATCAGACGGAAATGTTGTCGATTCCTGCGACGCGCCGATCACCGAGGCGCACGGCATGAGCATCGCATCCGACGAGCGATGAGGTTTTGTGTCGATTGTGACACGGGCCGAAAGCGGTAGCGGAACTAATACGACGTACCGGACCTCCAAAACCAAGTGAAGCTTTCGTCCTTTCCTTGGTACTTCTCGCCTGGCAACTGCTCTGATTGCGGATTGCCAGACCTGCCTCGCCATCTACGCGGACGGTCCGTTCTCTGCTGTGATCTGGGTCGTAGTCGGTGCCATCTGAGGGATAGAAGCACTTGGCCTTTGTTCTGGTCACGGCGATCTTCATCTTGCGCTTCGTACGGTCGACTGCGCGCCAGAGCTGGGTGCACCGATACACCAAAGACGGCGAGTACCCTCGGCAGCATCAACGGCGAGGAGAGTGGCGTCGGCCGTTTCAACACCCCGCACGGGTTATTGGTGGACTACCGAAAGGCCGACCCGGAACTCTACATACGCCGACCGCGCCAACAACCGCGTGATGGTTTACGACCTGGAAGGCACTTCAAGCGGAAAGTGCGCGAGCGCTAATCATATCACCTGCCGTGCACGTTCGCGGTGGCCGGGGACCTGTTGGCGATCCCCGAACTTCAGGCGCGCGTCACTTTGGTCGACCCTGACGATAATCTGGCGGGCCAACTGGGGGACAATACCAGCGTGGCCCAACGCGAAGGTTGGCCCAACGTGCACGGGCACGACGGCAACCTCGAGAGGCCGCACGACCGCGACCCGGCAGAGTTCACACAGCACGGCATCGCTTGCGCGACGCGGAGGGCAACCTCTACGTGCCGGAGTGGCTCATCGGCGGCCGCTTCATCACGAATGCCTCGTCAGGCCTGATCGGCCTGCCGCCACACGCGTTGGCACTGTAAATGTCACCTTATTTGTTGACAGACGTTTCAAGCCTTAGAAGGGGCACTTGCCCCGAGGACTTCGTGGGGCCGTCTCTCCTCGTCGTCCCGGCGAAGGCCGGGACCAGGGGATGGGGCGTGTCACTTCCGTTGACTATTGGATTGTAGTCTAAGGGGGCCCAACCACTCCCTAGATTCCGGCCCGTATCGGGGAGCCTGTCTCAGAAGTCGTGCGGCTTGTTGGGAGAGGTTTATCCTCATCGGAAGTCACGCCGTTATTGGAGGAGAGGGATATGCCGTTTCGAGAGATGAACCGCGAGCAGATGTGGATGCTTCCGCCAACCCTCGGCGAGATGGTGCCGATGGACCATCCTGCACGCTTTGTCGCCGAGTTCGTGGACGGCATGAAGCGGGAAGACTGGGCGGAGCTTGGAGTCGATGCGGACGGTGACCCGATGGGAGCTCCGGCCTACCATCCCCGGGCTCTGCTGAGCGTGTGGCTTTACGGCTTCATGACCGGCGTGCGCTCGACCCGCAAGCTGGAGACGGCCTGTCGCGACCAGATACCTTACCTGTGGCTTACGGGATCGCAGCGTCCGGACCACAACACCCTGTGGCGTTTCTACAAGAACCACCGCCAGGCGATGAGGAATCTGTTCAAGCGCACGGTGCGCACGGCCTTCAGGATGGAACTGGTGGACCTGGCTCTCCAGGCTGTGGACGGGACGAAGGTGAGGGCCAATGCTGCGAATGACCGTACCTATGACGGCGAAGCCCTGCGCCGCCTGCTGGAACGGTCGGACCGGGCGTCTGCGCCCTTGAGGCTCAGAACGAGGCCGGGGAGGACGCTCCTCCGGCGAATCTGCCGCCGGAGCTGGCCGGTAAGAAGGCGTTGCGGGAGCGCATGCGGCAGGCGCAGGAGACGCTGGAGGGCAGCGACCGCCTCAAGCAAGTCAACCTGACCGATCAGGATGCCGTGATGATGAAGACGAATCAGGGCATCACGCTGGCCTACAACGGCCAGGCGGTGGTCTCTCCGGTGGTGGCTGAGGGGAAAGAGACGGGCATGCTGATCACGGCGGCCGGCGTGTCGGACGACCCGACCGACTATGGCACACTGGGTCCGATGATGAAGCAGGCGGAGGAGACGACGGGTGTCAGGGCTGAGACGACGTTGGCCGACGGGGGCTATTACTCCGGGAGCAATCTGGAGGAGTGCGCCCGAAGAGGCCAACAGGTGATCATGCCGGAGGGGCAAAGACAGGCGCTCGACAGCCTTTACCACAAGGACCGTTTCGACTACGACGAGGCGAACGACCGCTACCGTTGTCCGGAGGGCCGGTGGCTGAGCTTCTTTCGTATCAATCGCGGCCGCCGGACCATGACGCGGATCTACCGGGGATCGGTTGCCGTGTGCCTGTCCTGTCCCGCCTTCGGTGTCTGTACGAAGAGCAAGCGTCATGGCCGCACCCTGAAGATAGGCCCCCAGGACGCAGCGCTGCGCCGCCACCGGGCCTGGATGTCCACCGAAGAAGCCAAACGGGCGTACAGACAGAGAAAGCTACTGGTCGAACCGGTCTTCGGGATCATCAAAGAACAGTTGCAAGCCCGCAGCTTCCTGTTACGCGGTCTAAACAACGTTGCGGCCGAGTGGTCCCTGCTGGCTACAGCCTTCAACCTGCGCACCCTGTGGCGTATATGGCGGACCCAGGCGCCGGACCCCGAGTTCACAAACGAAGCGCAACGCCGAATCAGGCCGCCCAAGCACGTTCCGGACAGGTCTCAACTGACAAACGGCGCGGGATTTCCTACATGTGTGACCCGGGTGATCGATGCCGCAACGACGGCGTATCAAATCCTCCAGCGCATACGAATGATGCCGAAACGCCTGGCCATAAGCCACGCACACTAATAAGACAGGCTCCCCGATACGGGGTGACGTTCTTCGCCGGAAAGACGGTGTGGAGGTTCGCCCGGTATGCGACCGAAGGGAGCCCGACCACAACCCTGGATCCCGGGTTTCGGCTCCAGACTGGAATCCTGCTTCAATCCCAATCTGTCAACGAATTACCTGACGTTTAGAAAGACCACTAGATTGCTCCGGTCTTGCGGACTTCCGTAAGCGCGGCCTCGAATTTGTCTACGGTGAAGTCGATTTCGCTGTCCTGGTGGGAGCTCGACAGATGAACGCCACGGGACTCGACCATACTCTGATTGATGAACTCCATCTGAAGTTGGTCCACTGTGGCGCCTGAGACCTGGCTCCCGTTCGGATCGGCTTCGGCGGGCGTCGAGTGCGGATCCGTCGTGTCGACTTCCTGCCCGAGGCTGACGCTGACGACCCGATGCCACGCCATACGCGCCGCCCGGTATCTCCATGCGTTGCATTACCTCGTTTATTCCGACCCGGAGTTTTTCCGCCGACGCTTCTGCCGTTTCGACAATCGGCTCTTCGATCAAAAGTTGGAGCGCGCGTTGCGCCGGCAGCTGCCGACAGCGGGTTTGCGTTGAACGTGCCGGGGTGCCGTACGCCGCCCTGGCCGATCACGTCCAAAATGTCGGCCCTGCCACCGACCGCGCCGCCCGGGAGACCGCCCGCGAGGATCTTGGCAAAGGCGCTGACATCCGGTGTGACGTCATAGCGCCCCTTGCATCCGGACATGGACCAACGAAATCCGCTTACGACTTCGTCGATCATTAACAGCACTCCCATGCGCTCGGTTAGCTCGCGCAGACCCCTTATAAACTCAGGCCGGGCCACGTCGTTTCCCTGGAAAACGACTGCGGCAATGTCGTCGTCTGACTTGAGCGTGTTCTCGACCGCTTCGAGGTCGTGAGGAGGCAGGTTGATGACTGAGGACGCCGTGCCGGAGGGTATGCCGTATGCGGCGTCGGTGTCTGGGTCGGTTACGTAGGCCGCATCGGACCATCCGTGGAACGCGTCGGCAAACTTGACGATCTTCTCTTTGCCGGTGAACCGGCGGCAGATCCGGAAAGCCATCATGACGGCCTCCGTGCCTGAACTCACAAAACGCACCTTTTCAACGGAAGGGACTATCTGCTTGATGAGGCTTGCCCACCTGATCTCGACCTCGGTGCAGGGGCTGAGATGAGTGCCTTTCGCCATCTGGGTTTGAACTGCGTCCACAATCGCCGGGTGCGCCTGGCCAAGAATCATCGAACCGTGGCCGGTGCGGTAGTCGACGTATTCGTTACCGTCGATGTCCCACTTGCGCGGCCCCTTGCCCCGGTCCATGTAGACCGGATACGGCGCCAGCTTTGCGGCTGACGTGGTTACCACCTCCGTCGTGAACAGCTCTGCCTGGCCTGTTCGCACCAGTTCCCTCCGATGTGGGGTGTAGTTCGCGAAATCGTTCTCCTCCTATGCGCTCATCTGGCGGTTTCTCAAGTGACGACGCGCTCGGTCGGCCGTCTCGGCGCGCTCTCAACATGCCGGATACATAACCCTTGCCGTACCCTGTGTTGTGCCGAATGGTGACCCAGAATTCTGACGATTCACTGTGGCCCGTATCTTCCGGTAGTTGTCGACCCTGCCATGGCCAATGCCTGCGACAACCAGGAATTTATCACGATCGCGATCAGATTTCGGACTCCGCCGGGGTTCATGACTCCAGCTGGGTCTAACGAGTTCTTTGCCGCGCGCAGAGCGTCGGCGAATAGGTCAGGCCTTTGACGGTCGTACCACGGCCGGTGGTCTCTTCCCACGGCGTGGTGATGGGTGATCGTACCCGCAGCGGCACTGACGGCGTCGGAGGACCGCGTCCTTGATTCTGTCCACATGGCCATCCACTTCCGAACCGCGTTTGCCCGGGGCGTAAAAGGTGTAATAGGGGCCGGGTCCGTCCGGGTACACGTGTGTGAATCTGCACGAAAGTTCTCCCCCACCGCACACTCTGGCCAGGGCGTCCTCGACCGCTGCTCTTACCGACAGGTCGAACTCCGGCCAACGATCCCAAGTAATCGCCGATTCAAATGTATCGAGGACCAGCCCGAGCCCGGCCAGTTCGTTCCACTTGTAGGCATATGTTGATGAACGTATCTCGCCACACTCTGACGGGGTCTGCGTCACCGCCGGCTTTCCCTCCTTGCGCCGTACGACCCCCGTCGAGCACGCTGCCCCCGGCTTCCCTGGCCAATTCGAGCGACTCGCCGAGATCGTGTTCTTGCGGGATATCGGCCGATTCGAACCCAAGGATCAGCAGGGCTTCGATCCATCCATGGCCGCAAAATTTCGTGCCTCCAACGGTCTAAAACACGACAGTTGGCGGGCCACATCCTGGACTGCACTACGGACCTGCTGCATTACATGCTGCCTCGAACGAAGGAAAGGTCACACCGGCGCCCGCTCGAAATCGCGGCCTGGCATGCAACCGCACCCATGCTTCGGTGACGATGCCGAGAATGCCCTCACTGCCGATCGCGAGACGATCGGGGCTCGGCCCTGCCCCGCTGCCGTGCAGCCGGCGGGACTCGTAGGGGCCGGCCGGCGTCATCATGCGAACCGACTCGACGAGATCGTCGATGTGCGTGTGGTTGGTTGCAAAGTGCCGGAACGGGTGGCGATCCAACCCCCCAGGGTCGAGAACTCGAAACTTTGCGGAAAATGGCGGAGCGTCACACCGTACGGTTTGAGTTGAGCCTCCAGCACCCGGCCCCACGCTCCACCTGATACGTGGGCAGCCTGGGAAACAGTATCGACTTCGAGAACCCTGTCGAGGCAGTGAGGTCGATGCTCACGACGCCATCCGCCCCTTCGGGAGGCTCAACACCGCCAACGACGACGATCCGCCCCCGAACGGGATCACCACATGACCGGCGGAGGCGCAATAGTCGAGCAACGCGACGACCTGCTCCTCGTTGACCGGTCGAGCGACTATGTCCGGCGGGTTGTCGAACGATCCATCGAACTTTCTCACGCGATCCCGGAAACTGTGCCCGTAGCTGTGAGACGCGCGGTCATGCGAGTCCGTCGAACAGATTGCAAAGCGTTGCCGGGGGTCTGATTCTCGGCGTACGCAATTTCAATCTTCAATTCGCGGCGGATGCTCCGGTTCCAGCGGAAGTCCGAATCGTCTTGACGCCTCAGCCGCAGCGAGGCGGCGCTGCCCAGCCGTGGGTTCGGACGATTCCATGCCCCATGCCCAGATGCTCCTGCGGTCAGTCAATCCACACTTCCTTAATCAATCATTCCCGCGCTGTTGGCGGAAACCCCTACGCTCGCCATCCGGAAGCCGCGCCATCATGTGAACTGGCGATACTGACGTCGGTCCGTGCCCAACCCTGAGTCCGGTCCAATGGAAGCCGCCCTTCTTTGGAAGGTCAACCACGTTCTTGTGGATTCGTAAAGCATTAATGCCGACAACGATCGCCATTTCCTGTAATATATGCGGTCGCAACGGATGTAAAGCGTAGACACAAGGTCCATCCAGAGCGGAGGTCAATCGAAATGGGTTCGTTAACCGCGCAGCAGGTTGAAGGCTTTTATAAGTACGGGTTCTTAAAGGTCGACGGTGTCCTTGACCCGGAAGAGTACCTCGACCCAATTATTGATGAGTATTCCGGCGTCCTCGACCGGCTGGCAGATGAGCTTTACGACAAAGGCGAGATCAAGTCCAGATACGAGGATTTGCCGTTCGGCGATCGAGTAACTGCGATTTATGCCGAGACGGGAAAGCAGTTCAGCGGTTACTTCGATTTTTCCCTGCCATTTATGGGAGTGACCGAAGAGACACCGTTCTGGACAGGACAAGCCGTCCTGAACGCGCTACTGCGGCAGAGCCTGCTCGACGCCGTCGAGTCGCTTATCGGTTCGGAAATCTACTCCAATCCTGTACAGCACGTACGAATCAAGCCGCCTGAGCAGTACTTGCCCAAGAACGCTAACGGCGAGCCGGTGATCGGCGCTACGGAATGGCACCAGGACCACGGAGTGGTGACCGAGAACGCCGACGATACGAACATGATCACGGCCTGGTTCTCATTGACCGACGCGGCCATCGAGCAGGGCCCGCTGAAGATCGTGCCCCAGAGCCACGACAGCGGATTGCTCACCCACTGCCTGAACTACCAGGGCACGGGGCGAAGGGTCATCCCCGAGAACTTGTTCGATATCGACTCCACACTGCCGATGCCGGCCAAGCGCGGCGACGTTATCTTCCTGCACAGGGAGACGGTGCACGGGTCCCTTGCAAACGTCAGCGAGAAGATCCGGTGGAGTTTCGACCTTCGGTACAACCCGATTGGCCAGCCAACCGGACGAGACGCCTTCCCCGGATTTGTGGCCCGCAGCCGCAAGAATCCTGAAGCGGAACTCAGGGACGCAGAGACCTGGACCGACCTGTGGACGAAAACTCGCACAAAGATGGCCAGCATCAACCAGGGTGATATGGGCGACGTGAAATTCGGTCGCTGGTCCGAAGGTCACCCCGACTGCGCATAAGTCCCGAATCGGGCACAATCGCCGGTAGACGGTGACAACGAATGGCGGGACGCCCATCCGGGTGTCCCGCCTTCGCGTTTACGTAAAAAGGAGAAAAGGCTAGCTTATTCCCTGGTGAGTCTCCTCCGAGGCGCCGCACGTGACTGATTCCAACCGGGTGGGTTCTGTTAATCTTGCTTCCAGAGGTGGGCTTTATTTGCGGCTGGAGGCCGTGTAAGGCCTTGGACAAGGAATCAACGACCATAGGCGCGACCGCGCCAGGGTGAATCAGAAATGGCTGAAACTACAACGATACTTTCCCGCAATGAAGTGATGGATGCCCTGCGAGATGTTTACGACCCCGAAATTCCGGTGAACGTCGTGGACCTCGGCCTCATCTATTCGGTCGAGGTCGACGATGGCGACGTCCACGTCGAGATGACGCTGACCGCGGCGGGATGCGGCATGGGCCCGTACATCGCCCAGCAGGCTGAATGGCGAATAGCCGAGATTGAAGACGTCGAGGACGTGCAGGTGGATGTCGTATTTGACCCCCCGTGGAATCCCGACATGATCACAGACGACGGCAAGCGCCTGCTGGGACTCGACTGACATTTGAACCGCGACCGTAGCGACGTTTGCGCCGGCCTCTGGCTGGTGCGGCTCCTGCTGCAAGTTAGCGCGCCTGAAGACAGGGCTTGAATGATGCCGCCTGCGCGCCAGCAACCCCCCACGGATAACCGCCAATGACCTCCCCGCGCAGGCAGCTAACCCCCCAGGAAGAGGCCCGTCTTGCAAGCGTCCGGGAGAATTTCCGGCAGCGCAAGGCTATCTCGGACAAGCTGAATCGCATCCGCAAACGAATCGGGGTCTACAGCGGAAAGGGAGGCGTCGGTAAAACGACGGTGGCGGTCAACGTTGCGGCCACTCTGGCGCAAGAAGGCTCGAACGTGGCCTTATTCGACTGCGACATCGACTGCCCGAACGTCACCCGCATCCTGCGCATCACCGAGGGGCCAACCCATGAAAATGGGGTGTTCTACCCATCTTCCCGCTTCGGCGTGAAGGTCATGTCGATGGCCTTTTTCCAGGAAAATGAGGAAGAGGCGATCATTTGGCGGGGGCCGATGATCCACAACGCCATCAACCAGTTCCTGACGATGACCGAGTGGGGCGACCTCGACTACATGGTGGTGGATCTGCCGCCGGGCACATCGGACGCGCCTCTGACCGTGATGCAGACGCTGAATATCGACGGCTTCGTCGTCGTGACCAGTCCGCAAGAATTGGCCGCCCTGGACGCCAAGCGCTCGATAAACATGATCCGCAAACTAAACCTGCCCGTCATCGGGATAGTCGAGAACTTTTCTGGACCGATCTTCGGGTCTGGCGCGGGCGAAGACCTGGCAGAAGAAATGGGCCTGCCATTCCTGGGCAGAACCGCGATGCGCGAAGAGTATCGAGACGCCCACCGACCGGCCGTGTTCGAGTCGGACGCGATCGCCGACGAGTACCAGCACATCGCCTCCGAACTGAGGAGGCGGATTAGCCTGCTCGACGAGTCGAACTGACAACTCGACCCAGGACGAACTCCGTTTCAGGGCTGGCGGTCCGCATGCGCCGAACCCGGCGTCTATCGTAGACGGTCAATCGACGCTCACCCCCATCACTCCCCCGCCGCAAATACCTCAACGGTTTCTTGCAACGTGCGGTTGGGGTCGATGGTTTCCGGCCGTTCGTCGCCAAGGGGTGAGTCGGCGACCATCCTGAATATTTCGGCGGCGCCATGATGAAAGTTGCCGGTCACGCCGACGCTTTCAAACGTGGCGGCAATCTCCTCCATTTCGCCCACCCATCGAAACGCCTTGCCGGGCAGCCCAATCACAGATTGCATCTGGGCCAGGACGTTCGCCTGGCTTGAAGACATCTCGCTTTCCAGTTCGCTGGACAGCCCCAAACGATGCGCGGCTACGAGCGCTGCGGTCTGCAGGGCGGAAACGCCCTTCGTAAGGGATGCGTAGCACATCTTGATTGCCGACGCCCTTCCAACATCTCCACCCAACAGCGGCACGATGATGCCCTTGCCATCCAGTTCGCCGATCACCGCCTCGTGCGGTCCCGATGCGTAGAAGCGCGGCGGCGATCCGGACCCAGGCGGCCCTCCGATTATTCCGGCGTCTATGAAACGGCCGCCCGCTGCTTCGATGATCCCGCCCAACTCGCGGGCGGTGTCAGGCGATACGGCGTTGCAGTCAGCGTACGCCGGGCTCGCGCCGGTGCGTTTCATCGCCGCCGCCGCCTCACGGGCCACCGATATCGCTTCTGACGGGACCAGTATCGACATCACGAGATCCGCCTCTTCGACGATGCTGTCTATCCCCGACACGGCCCGGAACCCCGCCTCTTCGGCCAGCGCACGGGTCCGCTCGCTGCGGCCGTCGAGGTTGGTCGCCACGTCGTAACCGTTCTCGCGGAGGGCTTGCCCGACAGCCGAACCCATGCTGCCGGGACTCAATATCGCAATTGTGCCGAGTGCCATCTCTTTACTCCCCAAGTTTTTCCTGATCGCACAACCATACCGGTCACCGCGCTGCCGTTACCAACAAAAAAAGGCCCGCGCCTTGACTGGCGCGGGCCTTGTTGTCACTTCTACGTACTGCCTATGCCGGCACTCCTTGTTTGAGAACATCGGCCATGGCCTCTCCAACGATCTTGTCCTCACCTTCCGACAAGCCGAACACGTGAATTGTGATGCCCGTTCCACCCATCTTTATTCGGGTCCAGATCGGTGGGTCGTTTTCCTTGAGCTTCGTTATGACGTCTTCTTCGGTCATACCGGCTACCTCAGCGTCGATGTCGATCTGAACACCGAACGGCTGATTGGCAATCACGTTATTGATCAACTCGGCACGGACACCGGGTATTCCCCGGAGTGGATTAAGGACGGTCTGACTCTGCTGTTCGGCGTTAGCCAGCCGTGTCTCGTGGTTCATGGTCATCCAGCGCCTGACGGCCGCCACTACACCCATCATTTCGCCGCGGTCGACCTTGTGGGGCCTGCCGATACCGCGGATGCGCCGGCCCTCGTACGAGACGAACGACTGGAGGGCCAGCTTGTGGATTGCGTCCTTTGTTCCCAGCGCGAAGCCCGTCGAGTGAGGGGCGCCCATGTACTTCGCCGCGACGCAGGAAATATCGGCCCCTGCTTTGACGTAACTACCCAGATTTTCAAGGGGATAGATCTGTCCGGCCGCGTCGACCATCACCGGCACGCCGTTATCTTTGGCCACCTCGATGGTCTGTTGTAGCGTCAGGGCATGCGGGTCGACCGGGTTCTGCTCATATGACACGTAGTGAACGACGGCGGTATTTGGGCCGATAGCGTTCGCGAGGTCGTCCTGGGTGGTCTCCTCGTCGGTCCCGAAATCGACCAGCTTGCCGCCGGCCATTTCAAGGCAGCGGTCGTACCAGTAACGTTGCCGCTTCTGGATCAGGATTTCGTTCTTCATGCCTGTCGTGTCCGGCAGGCGTTGAATCTTTTCGTCATCGTCCCCGGCTATGAACGCTGCGGTGGCCAGGGTCAGAGCCGAGCCGCCGCCGGAGGTGATGTAAGCAGCGGGCACGCCAATGAAATCGGCGATCGCCTGGCCGCCTTTTTCTTCAAGATGCTCCAGGGGTATGTACGCGCTGTTGGCCCGATCGATGGCGTCTCGTACTTCGGGTATAGGCGTGGACCCCCCGAGCAACGTCACGCTGCCTATGGCGTTGATGATGGGCGTGGCGTCGATCTCTTTGTAGATGTCTCCCCAATCTGATGCGGTCAACGTTTACTCCTCTTTCAGGCTCAGCTTGCTGTTATTTCCCCGGAGGCCGTCGCGGCGACATCGGCTCGAAACGGCACGTCTTCCGGATGAACGCCGGTGTTCGCTGCTTTTTTTGGCATGTCCCAACGCGGCACAGGCAATGTTACTCTCGGCATGGCCGCATCGCACGCGCATGGCGGATATTGGGGCCTTTAGTCTGGCATTTTCCTTGCCAATGGTAACGACTGACGTACCTGGTGTGCGTACTGGAAAACGGGGATCAACACATTGGCCAATAGAAAGATATTCAAGGCTTCCCGCGTTGCGAATCCCGGGCTGACAGGTGGCTCACCGACCACGCGATTATCGTCGAGGGCGAGGTTGCATAGACGTGATGCCCTCGTCGGCATTGCCTTCAGAGCCGGACGCGCGTATCTACGAAATGGGCGACGTGTCGATGCTTCCGGGAATCGTCGAGGCGCATAGCCACGTGCACTGCTCCGCGACTTACGACGCATACGACCTGATGATGTCCGACACGCCGGAGACGTTGATGATGCGGGCCGTGACGGCGGTCAGGAAGGCGTTGATGTCGGGCGTGACCACGATGCGGGACCTAGGCACGCCGAACGAGGTCGCCTTTCCACTAAAGAACGCCGTCGACAGCGGCGCCATCCCGGGTCCCCGGCTCATGATGGCCGGGACTCCGATCACCATCACGTCGGGGCACTGCAATTTCTTCGGTACAGAGGCCGACACTGTCGATGAGGTGGTCACAGCGGTCAGGACGCAGGTCAAGTTGGGCGCAAAGGTCATAAAGATGATGGCGACAGGCGGCAATTTCACGCCGACTTCAAACACCCGTAGGCCTCAGTACCCGGTCGAAACGTTGCAAATGGCAGTTCGTGAGGCCGAAAGACATGGGGTGCAGATCGTCGCTCACACGCATGCGGCGCAGGGGGTGCGCAACTGCGTGGACGCAGGAATTCACCACCTGATCCACTCGCGTTGGCTCAGCGCCGATCAATCGAAGGGATTCGAATACGATCCCGAACTGGCGACGAGAATGGCTGACGAAGGGCGCTGGGTGGACGCCACGATAGGGGCCGTCCTGTGCGGAATGAGGCCGCGGACCAGGGTCTGCCGGCGCGGCCGCTCCACTGGTCGGTAGTTCAGCGCCCGCCGAATGATGAAGAGGCGGTCGAGATACTCGTCGATATGAGAAGTCGCGGCGTCCGTTTCACTAACGGCCTCGATATGGGTATGGCGTACGCCGATTTCGACAAGTCAGCCGCCACCAGTTGGGCGGCAGTCGAGTGGCTCGGATACACGCCGTGGGAGGCGCTTTCAGGGGCGACGGCCATGACGGCTGAGGCGTTGGGGCTGCATCGGGAAATCGGGTCATTGATCCCGGGCAAGATCGCAGACATCGCGACTTTCGAGGGCGATCCAGCCGAGGATATTCGCCGGCTCAACGTGGCCCGCGACGTGATCAAGGGGGCGAACCGGTCAAGCTAAACGGCGAGGCATTGGTTTGAAGGCCGAAATGCCTGACTGTCTCACGGGTCCGTCCCGGTGGACAGGCGGTGTCCGGTTTGTCAATTCGTTCGCCACCCTGCTGCCCGAGATGTGGCGCAAGCTGGCAAGTATCGTTTAGTGTTGGCGGCCGCGCAGGCTGCCATATCAAGTGAGACAGGGCCAAATCATGAATCACGCTGAAACATCCATCGCCATGTTCCCGGGTCGCGAGATCCCGGTTCTGGAGTGGTCCGACGGCGAATCCCGACCGCCAATACTCATGTTGGCCGGATCAGGGGCTGCGAGCGATTGGGGGTCTCTTGCCACAGGGTTGGCGACCGACTACCGAATGCTCGCCTTGGAACAAAGCGAATGGCCGCTCCTGATAGAGGCGATATGGGCATCGGGCGAACCGGCGGTCCTGGTTGCGCAAGGCGATGCGGCAGAAACGGCATTACAGGTGGCGTCCGTAGCCCCCGGCTCAGTACGGGCCGCGATTGTCGTCGACTACGCCCTGCCGCACGGGGCGGCAAGGTCGGTCAAGCTCGCCATGCCGTGCCTCGTCTTCCGGGGTCGGCAGAGTGATACGACAACACACGGAGATGCGGTGGCCCTGCACGAGGCGATTCCGGGTAGTCACCTGATCGAGCCGGAAAACTGCAGCGCGTGGCCCGACGTCGACAGTGCCCTGGCCCTGGAAGAGTCCATCCGGCTATTCCTGTCGCGGCTGGGCGCGCCGTTTATCGAATTCGAAACGGCGGACCAGGCGTAGAGCCCGGGGTCTCGTAGCGAGTCGGCGCGATCCGCTGCTAGTCGTCTTCAAGAGTTGAGATGTCCCCTTCAGGGAGGCCGAGCTCGCGCGCCTTAAGCAGCCGCCGCATGATCTTTCCTGAACGCGTCTTTGGCATCACGTCCAGGACGTCAATCTCCCGCGGGGCGATCGCCGGGGACAGTCTCTCGCCTGTGAACTGCATCAACTCACGGCGCAAGTCGGTAGACCATTCGTAGTCGGGGTTTAGCGTGACGAAAGCCTTCACGACCTCCATGGCGATCGGGTCCGGCTTTCCTATTACGCCGGCCTCGGCCACTGCGGCGTGCTCGATCAGCGCGCTTTCGACCTCGAACGGGCCCACCAGGTGTCCCGCCGTGTTGATAACGTCGTCCGCCCTGCCCTGGAACCAGAAATACCCGTCTTCGTCCAATGATGCCTGGTCTCCGGTGATGTACCAGCCCTTCTTGAAGCGGGAGGCGTACATCTCGTCCTGCCGCCAATAGGCATGCATCATCGCCGGCCATCCAGGTCTGACAGCGAGTATGCCCGCCTGGCCCGGCGGCATCGGGTTGTAGTCCTCATCGAGGACTGCCATTTCGATGCCCGGGACCGGCCTGCCCATCGAGCCGGCGCGCACCTCCATCGAGGCATAGTTTGAGCACATGATCGCCCCGGTTTCGGTCTGCCACCAGTTGTCGTGGATCGCCATGTTGAATTGCTCGTTGCCCCACACGACGGCTTCGGGGTTGAGTGGCTCGCCCACGCTGGCGATGAATCGGAGGGACGAAAGGTCGTGCGATTCAACAGGGCCAGAGCCGGCGCGCATGAGGAGCCGGACCGCGGTCGGCGCGGTGTACCACACGGTGACCTTGTACTTGTCGATCAGGTCGTAGTAGGCGTTGGCCCCGAACCCGCCCTCGTAGATCAGGTTCGTCACGCCGTTTGTCCACGGCGCCATCATCCCGTAGGAGGTGCCGGTTACCCAGCCCGGGTCGGCAGTACAGAAGAACATGTCATCGAAATTAAGGTCGAGGCACCACTTGCCGGTCATGTACTGCTGCACAACGGCCTGGTGCCGATGAAGCACGCCTTTCGGCTTGCCGGTACTGCCCGACGTGTAGTGCATGATCGAGTAGTCGTACTGGCTGGTGTCGGCGATCTGGAATCCGGATGAATCGGCCTCGGACATGAGCGTGTAGTAGTCGAGGTCGCCCTCCGCCAGCGGCTCGCCCGATCTGCCGTCCTTGTCGGCGATTATCACCTTTTCGAGTGTCTCCACCTTGGGCAGGATTTCGGCGATCTTATTGCGCAGCTCGGGCGTGGTTATAAGAAATCTCGCGCCCGCGTCGACCATCCGGTCCAGCACCGGGTCAGGGCCGAACGCCGAGAACAGCGGGCCGATAACGCCGCCTGCCTTCAGAACGCCGAGTGCTGCGATATACAGTTCGGGCAGCCGGTCCATGAAAATGAAGACCTTGTCAGCCCGTTCGATGCCCAGCCATTCATCAACCGCGCCAAATCGGTCGGACTGCTCCTTCATGTCGGAGTAGGTGTACCGCTCTTCTTCTCCGTTCTTGCCGACCCATATCATCGCCAACTTGTCGCCATGACCATGTGCGACGTGGCGGTCGATGGCTTCGTAAGCGTTGTTGAGGCCGCCGCCGGGCAGCCAGTCGAGTTGGGAGAAGCCGTCCCGATACCAATCGAACCCGTCTCGCGCCGAGTCGTAGTCGACCAGGTTCGGTTCGATGCCTTCGTACTGGGCTGATGGCTTGCTAATGACTGCGTAATCCACTTGACTGTTACTCCGCGGCACACCTGAAGAGGTGGCTACTTAGGTTGATTTCACGTCATTTTAGCCGGATTCAACCAAGATTCCGGACCCGGTTTCGCTTGCGCATCCCGAGCGCCTGCCTAGAGATCGGCGGCATGGCATCGCGCCCCACCGATTTGGCCTGTCCCGTTGATCCACCCTGAAATATAAACGAATCCGGGATAGATTCAAAAGGGCCGACAAACCGGCGTTCCCGCGGCCGTCTGTCGGTATAACATCTTGGAAACAGACGGCGCATATTTGCGACAGGTGGTCGAGTGTTCCCGTTCGTCTTTGCAGAGTCGGCGGGCATGATTCGGTCAAGGATACGGACAATTTGAAGGTACTTTTTTTGCAGGACGTGCGACCCACAGCCATGGCGGGCGACGTCAAAGAGGTCAAGAACGGCTACGGTCGCAACTACCTCATTCCCAACAAACTAGCAGTACTCGCTACGCGGGATGAACTGCAGCGGGCCGACAAGCTGCGTAAAGCGGCCGAGGACAGGCGGCTCAAAGAAGCGCAGGACTGGCAAGAGATTGCCAGTTCACTCACCGAATCGCCCATCGAGGTTGAGGTTCGTACCGGACCCACGGGCAGACTTTACGGGTCGGTGACGAGCACCATGATCGCCGAGAAGATCGCCGAAATGATCGACAGAGAAGTCAATCGGCGGAATATTCGCATTCCGGCGCCCATCAGGACTACTGGCCTATATACGGTTGAAGCGAAGTTTGCCGGCGGTGTGGACGCCAACTTGAAGGTATCGGTCGTGTCCGACTCGGAATCGAAAGAGATGTCGTCCGCGATCAAGGCGATGGAGGCCGAGTCTGCCGAGGCGGAAGCCCAGGAATCGCAGGCCGGAGATGCTGGTGATGACGGGGAAGACAGGGAAGACTCGAACTGATTCGAGCCGTGTCCACGCCTTTAGTGACCTGATTGTTTTGACCTCCGTCCGGAAGAACTTTGCAAGCTGACCGACTTCCACCCCACGATATACAGGCCGAAGAATCCGTTGTCGGCTCGCTCTTAATTGACGGCGAGTCGATCACAAACATTTCGGGTTTCCTGAAACCGGACGACTTCTACCGCGAACGTAATCGTTGGTGCTATGAAGCCTGCCTCGAGTTGCTCAACCGCAGCGAGGCGATCAACCAGGTAACCGTGGCCCACGAGCTCGACACGATGAACGTGTTGGAAGAAGTGGGCGGAAGCTCCTACCTGAACCAGGTCGTCGCCGTGGTTCCGACTTCCGTTCACATCGAGTACTACGGCCGGATTGTTCATCGGACCGCCACCATGCGCCGGTTGATTACCGTCGCCAGCGACATCGCGGAGATCGGGTTCAAGGACGATCCGGACGTCGACAGCTTCGCTGGGCGAAGCCGAAGACCTGTTGTTCGCCATTCGTTCAGGAGCCCACACGCGTGATTTCATCCCGATACGTGAAGCTCTCGAACCGTACCTCGAGTCAACCTCTCTGGTGCCGGACCTCGACGAGATGTCCAGCGGTCCGATCCCGTCCGGCTTCCGCAATCTGGACGCGCTGTTGGGTGGCCTACAAAGGTCGGACATGATCGTCCTGGCAGCCCGCCCCAGCGTGGGCAAGAGCACGCTTGCATTGAACCTGGCCCGCAAACGCCGCAGCGAACGGGGCCCGGGTGGGAGTGCTCAGCCTGGAGATGGGCCGTGAACAGGTTGCTATGCGGCTGCTGTCGGCGGAAGCCCGCGTCAACATGCACGTCATCAGGACGCGCATGGTTAACGACGACCAACAGGCCCGCATAGTGGACTCGATCGGATTTCTCTCGGACCTGCCGATCTACATCGACGATACGCCCGTGCAGACGGTCGCTGAAATCCGCGGCAAGGCGCGGCGTCTTCAACTCGAGTCCGGCCTCGATTTCGCGGTCGTCGACTATATGCAGCTGATTCATGGTGGCGGGGCGGCCGCCGGGACCAGAATCGCGCGCAAGAGGTTAGCGAAATCTCGCGTTCGCTTAAGGCCATGGCGCGCGACCTAAACGTGCCGGTCCTGGCCGTGTCGCAGTTGAGCCGCGCCATTGAGCAGCGTCCTTCCCACCGGCCGGTGTTGTCCGATCTGCGTGAAAGCGGCAGCATCGAGCAGGACTCGGACGTCGTCATGTTCATCCACCGCGTCGACAAGTACATGACGGAAGAGGAATGGGCCAGGGCCAACCCGAATTCAGATTATCCGCGCGGGCTCGCCGAGATCATCGTAGCCAAACACAGGCACGGACCGACGGACGACCTCTGGAGCGGGAGTGGACAGTAGGAACTTGGTGATATCAGAGGATGCTCACCGACCGAAAGGTACCCGTGCGATAAGCTCGAGTTCGGCCTCCCCAAGTTCCTAGATATAGCCAACGGCCCCAAGTCAGGTACGCAACCCGATCCGCCGATTGGTCGGACAGGTTGTGATGAGTCCCTAAATCCTTCACTCGGGCTAGCACGGTGCCACCCCATGTGAAAGACGCCAATCCCCTTGACTGGCCGCCGACCCGCTGTCGAGATCACCGACCCGGATGAAGTGCTAGGCTCACCTTTAAAGAGGGCCGGTGTGCGGAACTTCAGATCCAGCAGAGAGGATTGCCCTCCCTGATGGTCAAGATTTGACTAGTCGACCTGCGCGGATGACGTACGGTTGCAGCGAGAGCGTATTAGTGGGCTGGGGAAGACTGGCGGGGATGCATCGCTGAACGAGTGCAGCCCAAATCGGAGTCGTTTCGCGCTCTCGATGGTATCAGGCGAGGTCGTCGGCCACGGCAGGGGTCGTAGCGGTTACCCGCTGATACTGGAGGAGGGAAAATAAGTTATCAAGTTGTGGCGAGCCCCGGTCGCGGAAACCGATTCCGCCTATGTCCTCAACACTGAACCCGTATGAACGGACAATGGGGCGCCTCCTTTCAGCGCCAAGGCTCTTATCAAGGCGAAACAGAGACTGAAAATCAGCCTCGGATACAGAAATGGCTAAGGGTCGAACCCGTCGATACGAGAGGGCCAGGCAGGGTGGCGGGTGGTAATAAAATAGTCTTGAAAGTCACAAGGGGCAGGGATCACAGGCAATCGGAATGAGCGGCTCTTACCGCAGCGCGCAGCGTCGATGGGACCGTTCGTCGTGACGAGGGCACGACTGGAAAACACCTGGGAATAGGCACGCGGCCCGAGATCACGCGGCGCTTGTACGCGCCGAAAAAAATCCGAAGACCGCGATCGGCGACTCCTATACGGAGTTGGCCGGTTCGCGACGCAATCCGGAATGCGGAGGTGACCTGAACGAGGACAGCCAGGATATGGAATTACGTACGGCATCTGCAGACGGACGCAAATGGGGGGCAGAGGCCGCGACATGGAGAGCCTGGAGGAAATCTTCCGAAGGTTAGGTCCGACGATTCATCCGCCTGCGGCTACGTGCAAAAGCAGCGTCGAACACAGCGGCAATCGCTGATCCGGCCGAGTACCGAGGTGTGAATAGTGTGAAATCTGCATCGCGACAGACGCACAGAGATGGGACGGAGCCTATGATAAGCGAGCGGACGGTCGAGGTGGATAAACACGCCTGACTCGGCTATGGTCATCCCGTGCGATGTCAGGCGGCCGGCGTGGGGCAAAACGTCAGGACCCGATTCGAATGCCGCCAGTTGATAAGCAGAATAGACGCCCGCTTCGCGCGCTGGGCGACCATGACAGCGACTCGGGGGGCGAAGTCTTGCCAACGGGCGATTGCAACCTCGACGACGCGTCGACCTCGCGTGAAGACATTGGCTCACGGATACGTTACGATAGCCCATGTCGTCCTTTGCAGGGCTGAGGGAGGCACAAGTGGTACCGCGACCGGGGAGGTTTGCCCGGGGCGTCACCGCCGGCTGGCTGGTGGACAGGAGCCCCGTCCGGGACCGGCCCTGAAGAGGACCCTATCTCGACAGGCTCCCGGGGGGCGAGAAACACAAAAACGTTTCCGAAATGTTCAGGGGGCAATCCCAGACTCGATTCGTTGTCGTCGTCCCGGAAATACTGGGATTTTCTGACGGGCGACAGGTTCGAGTCCCGAACGCACGGTGCGCTAGCCGAATGACCTGTTTGCGAGAGTCAGGTGGCATCGATAGGTGCCAACGGCGGCCCCATATTACCCAGCGTCGCCACAGACAGCGTGGGGTAGATAGACGAAACCCTATCGCGCGTGGATCAAGGCTCCAACAGCCTCGCCGTCCGACGTACGCCCAAGGCGAAGATTAGAGGGAACCAATATAATGATAGATCTTGATCCCAAGTTGAGCAGCTCGACCACCACCCAGTCGCATATACAAGACGAACTGCATGCCGGAATTGTGATCACGAGTTCGTATGGGCGGCGCCCACGATGAATGTACGGAGCAGACGGTTTGCCGTGCGCGGCAATCAAACGATTCGACATGTCTCAACGCAGCTGTCCATTTGCTGCGAGAAACCAGCCATCGTCCAATCCGGGGACCGTATCGGATTCGGGCCAGCATGGAAAGAAGATCGAACACAACACGGTGAGACCGGTAGGGACAGAAAAGCTCGAGGAACGTCTTGTTCTCTCCCACTCTTCACACCGAAGACGGAAGGGCGAGGGGCCGCGGTAAGGTAGCATCCGCCGAGCACAAAAAAGAAGCAGCAACTAACGGCTTGGCGCGCTGGAGGGTGATAAGGGGCATCGAAGGGCAAACAACGGAATCCTTTCGAGCTACGCAACCACCCGCACAGTGGCTGGTCGAATATACACTGGCCAAGCAGGGGGCGTAAGAGACACAGACCCAAGGAGGCTTGCGCGGCGCGCATCGGGTAGCTTTGTGGGCAAAAGGGAACGGACAGTGCCTGCAGCATTGGCGATGATAGCCCGGCTGGTCGGTCGAAGGGGAGCCACCCTGATCGCCGAAAGACGCACGATGAGGCTCACGCCGAGGGCTGCGTGAAAAAAAGGGGGCAGAAACGGAAGTCTCATTTTCCGTGTCTGTACCCCACGATCTCACGCACAGGGGACTGGAAGCGAATTGCGGGAGACGCGGTTTTCCGCGCTTCCGAGTCTAGACGTTGAGGAGGACTTACGACGGACGTTACACTGGAATTCATCGAACGCTTGCGCGGCTATCACGAACAGCCCAAGAACTGAAGTCGATACTACTCCGACGATGCTGCCCGGCTCGCAAAGGCATCTACGAGCCGTGGGGACACGGGGAAAGAGCAGGAAGATGTAAATGCCGAGTCCACTAAGGATGGCACCGGGGCACATAAAGCGATATCGTGTGCCGACAACGAGGGAGGTACAGGGATAAACGGAGCAGGCACAGGCGCAGTGATCGGACTGTGAACGATAAAAAAAGGCGGGATCGGAGATCGAAAGAAGCGCACGACCCACGGGCGTGGGCAGGAGTATGTACGGTAAAGGATCACGCAGGCGATCGCATGCGTGGAGATTTGCACGGTAGGAGGGGCGGATATCGTGTGCCGAGGGAGATATGCGGGGTGAACGCAAGGGGGCCGCTCGTGAACATGTGAATCGGGTGTGAAGATAGGGCCTGATGTGTAGGGTGAATGTCCCGGCGGCACCGACTACCGATTCCGGGAGAGGCCGGGAGAGCAGGGAGGAGGAGCCGACCCTCCAGAAAAGGGGGCGGGGAACGTCGGTCCGATTACAGGCAAAAAACGAGCCGACGGACACACGGCGGCACGAGTTGGGAAATAGGTTGCAGAGTAGTAACGAGAGTAGCACAAGGCAGGAAATTATATAATGTCGCGAGAGCCGCGTACGAACATGAGGAAGGACCCCAGAGTCCGTCGAGACGGGACCACGAGACACTCGCCCGTACTTCCGGGGTCCGTTCCGTACTCTGTCGACAGGCGTGGCCCTGAGGAGCGCGATTTGCGACTGGAAAGATCGATGTTGGGCAGGAGCTATAGGTCGTCCACGCCGGACTGATCACTCTTAGAGCCTTTGGGTCACAGCGGAGCCGGGCTGAGAATTGCGCAGCAGATGGGGTATTCGGACGGTATAGGCCGGCAACTTAGCAGGGATCCACCCCCTGGGAAAAGCTTACAATGATCCAGGCCCACGAGATTGAAAAGACGTTTGCGTGATGGGGACTACGGTAGCATAAGTGATGGGACATGTGCACATGGACTGGGCTACGGAGGCGTCTCGCGGAGAACCGTGTTTTGACATAATGCAGGGGGATGGGCCCATGAACGGGGTTGGCGCTACTTACAAGATCCTAAGTAGGTGCGGGAAACAGAGCCAGAGGGCATGCTACCCCTCGTAGAGTGCGAGCCGTGCCATGACCACCTTTGATACGTGGCGCACACAATCAGAGGGAGAGGGTTGCCGGCGATAGGTCGGGCCCCGAGGATAAGGGCAGCAGGTTATTGTTTGAGTTATAGCGCAAACGGCGGGTTGGAATAATGTAGGGGGGTGGACCGCACCAGTGGAAGGACGCAGTGCCGCGAGAGAGGGTGTTCGGGCTGGTTGTTCCAAAGAACTATTCGCTGATCCCCTAACGCCGGCGGGCCGCCCCTGCCAAAGGTCGATGCCACAAGCCCACTTGCACAATGCGTCTCCCGGATCGCAGATGATCTTGAAGTGGCCGCGCGCGCACAGAACTGGATACCTAGGGTCTATTGCCGGAAGCACTTGCACGCCACAAGTTCGCGTGTAGGGAAGTTGGCGCGGACTCAAGGTCAGCGCCGGTAAGAGTCGTGATTTCTGGCGCCGAGGGCCACGAGTCGCAGATCGGCTTTTGGGAGTCGACGCTGCTGACTTCCGTCCTTCGTTCTGGCTCGGAAAGCACGTTTCGACGTGCCGAGGCGCGTTCGCCCGCGGGGTATCGGTTCGTCGCTCAACTTTCTTCCGGCAAGTGAGGCGAAGAACGGCGGGGCCGCAGGCATGTACGTCCAGGCCGGCGGGCAATGGGACGGTATGGGTAGCCCGTGATTGAGCGTGAACGGTCGGGTCGTTTTGAGGTCGGGCAAAAGGATCCATGCGGACCTGTATTGGCCCCATTTCCGTTACGTCTTCTCAAAGGGTAAAATGCGAAAATTCGGGCGGTTATTGCGGATTCGTAGTCCCGTTTTGCGAAGCCGGATTGAAAAATTTCGGGACAAGGGATTGGCCGGGCTTGGACCGCTCGATTTCTTGACAAAGCTGGTGCGATCACTTTGAAAGCTTTTGTAGGTGGGGAAGTGCAGCGGAAGCCCGCCGACCAAAGGCAGCGCCAATTTGCCGTATTTCGAACTGGGGGATATCCAGAATCGACGCCC